AACGTACGAGGCGACGCGACGTCACCTTATATATATATACATATATATATATATATACATATATATATATATACATATATATATATATACATATATATATATATACATATTCCTTCTCCCACACGTGGTGACGTCGCTTTAAAAAAAGAATATATATATATACCGTCTGATAATGGGCGGTCCGTGTACCGGTCAACTGACGGACCGGTACGTACCGCCCGGTACGGACGGTATTATTTGAAACTGTATACCTTGATATGTATGTATATATATATGTATATGTATGTATGTACATACATATGTCAATAGGTTTTTCATTTTTGTATCCTGTTCTTATGCATACATGCATATTGCCTATATGAGTCTTTCGTCCTAAATATAAAAATTCTACACTATTGTATGCATACACATACTAGCATACATGCATACTTTTCTAAATATATGGAAATTTTTGTGTTCCTGGAAGGTCAGAACCACCATTAATTAGAAACTTTGATTATTAGATTCCTTTTGCTGTTTGCTACAGAAGCTCTACACTTGTATTGTCTTCCTAAATTCCCCATAGATATGAAGAAGCAAAAGCAAAAGGCGATCATAATTTTGATCGAGAACTTGAAGATATGATTGAAAGACTCATTGTTGAATGCGAAAGGAAAATTCAAAGAGCTCTCAAGCGTCTTGAGGAGGAGGATGCTAAGGCTGCTATAGCAATATCTGTATCCAATGTTACTCAGGTATTTATTTATTTCTTTTATATGCATAATGATAATCTCTAGCATCTGGCATAAGTTTCTCTAATGATTTTTATCCTGTTAAATTGAAGACACCTGAAGTCATGGAATTGTCAAGACATATAAAGGAGAAATTGAAAGAAGCTGATGCTTTTGGTAATTTTTTTTTTACTGTCCATAGAAAATAATTTCTGTAATTTGTGTTTGAATCTATCTTTTTGTAGAACTTATGCTGTAATTTTAGTTACTTCAGTTATTGGATTAATGGTTGCCTTTGTAGAGTACATTTGCTGCTTATTAGTTATAGCCAAAGAAGCCATAGTAACTTGTTTAAATCTTGTCTATGATGCTTTTATTTTATTTGTAAAACAATTTATTCCACCATTTAGAGATGTAGTTATTAACTTCGGAATATCTTGTCAGCTTTCAGGTATGAAATGTAACAAACAATTTTATAATCAAAACTTGAGTAGTTTAGAGGCTAAACTTTAGACCATGGTTTCAAACACCGGTTGAACCAGTCTGGACCATGGTATTTACTGGTTTGTGCTGATCTTATGTGGTGGAGGCAACTAGGGTGCCTAGTTGGTAGTTGAGCAGGTCTGTCATGGACATGTTGGCACAAACATGCCGTCTTGTTGTAAACCATTCTGTTGTAACATGTTGATCTCTTTTTACAGATCCAGAGGGCCTTGTTTGTTTGTCTAATATCTATTATGCCACTGTATGGATCTTCTGAAATAATATTAGATATAAAAAACGATAAAAATAGGAATGGATTTAAAAATGCCAATGATACATTTGTATAATCATCTTCCTACCATGACTCATTACCCATTTTTGCCCCACCCGAATTGGGCAAACTGATTGCGAGAGAGAAAAGAGATGGAGGGAGACTGGTGTTTTGTTTTTTTAGTGGGTTGTTTGGTGGGGGGTAGGCATTTAGAAATTAGCTTCAGATAAAATTTGTAACAAAGTTGGGTTGATACACTGGTTGAAGTTTTAAGTTTTGCATATATATGCTAATACTCTGTGAGCTTCGTTGGGTTCCTCAAGTTTGGTTTGTGTCAGGTTGCCCTATCCCTTAGATGAATCCAAACTAAATTCAGCTCGTGTCAGGATTTTGCAACCCAAGTTTTGTGATATCTTGAATAGGCCCAGCTTGCAGCAGGTTGTCTCATATTGAATCTAGGCTAACCTGTCATCTTTGACATGAAATTCATAAAAATTGTTTTCCTCTGCTCTACAAAGTCATTTTATAATTGTTTCATTGCAAATAACATTGCGATGTTTATCTTTTTCTTTTTCTTGTACGCCTGTGCTCTCAAGTTTTTGATAAATTGTCAAAGAATGACACTTTTTCTGATGCTTTTCATTCTCTTGTTATTCTTAATGTAGCTTATGCTTAACACCATATTGCTTACTAATATAACTTATAGATTAATAATTGTTGTTACATGTTGCTTAAGTTAAATAATAGGGTTTTGTTTCCAGATTTTGAAGGAAAAGCTGATAGTAAAATACGGGTTCTAGAAGTGGTGGAGGAGCTCAAAGCCCAGAGAGCTGACAAACAGGTATGATTCCAGAGTCATTCCATAATAGATTTATGTGGCATTATTCTGCAAAGTCAATCTGTAGTAACTTTGTGTTATGCGGTACTAGGTTATGATGTTTCTGATTACTTATTTTTTAAGCTAATTAATTTTGGTGCAATGGAGTGATAACTTCTTGTTTTCAGTGCAGGCAATTCTTCTACTTGATGCTTTTAACAAAGATAGGGCTTCTTTGCCGCAGCCAAATCAAAATCCTCCTCAATTAGCAACTCTGTCTGTTCTCAATCCTCCAGATCCTCGTACACAAGAAATGATCAATGAAAAACTTAAGAAGGCAGAAGATCTTGGTAAATCACTCTTTAGTTACTGATGCTGAATTGCTATTTTTCAACATGTACTTTAAGTTTGGATGGCTCATATTGCATTTCTCAGTATGAATGGATAGTTCTCAATGTGACCTAGAAAGAAGTTTAGAGGGGAATGTCAATGTGCTACTGCAAGTTGTCCATGTTTCAAGCTTTGCTATCTGTTTTTGAAATCAGAGGCTTTTGAGTATATTTACAGCCTTCCACTACCACTTGGTTGGTGGGAACAATCTGTTGGAAGACTATGATGCCCTGACATTCCAAGCTCATCCTATCTTACTATAGGAAAACCATTCTCTAGAATGCAGGCATTTGTTCTTGGCATAGTGAAGTTTTTGATTGGTTTGACATATTCGATTGGATAACTATGGCTTCACACTTGCCATTTCATAGCTTTAGCTGTCAGAGATACTGGGAAAATTTCAGTAATGGCTACAGAACCTAAGTTTTCACAGGCTATTTGAGGCAGAAAGTTCACTGTTACATAATAATATCTAACAGCAGTAAATTTATTTCAGGGATTAGTGCTTACTTCCTTTTGGGTGGTCTTATTCAAAACGTCAACCATAGCTATAAAAGTGAAAATTGATTGGTTTTTTACTTTAAATTATAGTTTTGTTTCTCAACTCAGGTCAAAATATCATAGATACTTGTCCAAGATTGTCATGACATTCCACTGATGTGGTATACATGCAAGGTTCACAAATTTATGTAATCGGTCAGGGTTCAGACGGGTATTGTACCAGTGTACAAGCATCAAAATTCGATGTTTATCAAGTTTAAAAAAAAACCATGAATAAAATGAAAAATAAAAGAGAAGAAATTGCTTGGTATTGGACATATACCGACCTATACCAGATGGCACAGACCCTGTTCTGGGCATACTAGGTGGTATAGACCTTGTACCAGATTATCACGGACTTAGTTGGTTTTGCTTAAGTCGTGCGGCACCCTTGCGTGTTCGTCCGCAAAGGTCAGCCTCCCCGAAGCCTCCCACGGTCCCTTAGGACCCACAAAAGAGAGAACGGGTTAGAGAAAACGTCTCATTCGGGATCCACAAGCAAACATTTCCGAAAACACTTCATAGACAATGCAAATTACAAACAGACTTTAAAGCTCTGAACAGTTGCACAACAAAGGGTCAAAATGGTCCATTACAGACCGAAAATCTCTTACAAGTGTCCACATGACACAACCTTTATTTACAAGGCTAAAGCGGCCACCAAACTCAACTAAAATGGGACTTTTAAGTCTTCGACTGTCCCTCTACATACTAGGCAAAGAATGAACATATCAAAAGACACGGACATACATAAGCATTACATTAAACATCCTGTTTAGAAGTTTGTCCATGATATTCTCCCCCACTTATTCCTTCGACGTCCTCGTCGAAGCCTTTGCTGACTCTGCAACTCCTTGCCTTTGCTGAGTCTTCAATCTTCTGCTCCAGCTGCAACGCGCCTCTTGGCTCCCAACTGCTCTCCGCTGTTGTTTTTGAGTAGTCGAACCTTTGATCCGCCATGCTGCTTCAACTCGCCAATGACTCTGACTCTAGTGTGGGGTTGGCTGAGTTGTGTTGATCCCTGTTGGTTCCTGCGGATCCTCCAGATGAAGGAAAAGACCATCCTTATTGCGCCAGTCTCTCAAATGTCTCATGCTGCTTGAACTGGGTGGATGCTTGTTGGAGCTTTAACGAGCATCGTCTCGCAAACTTTTGAAGTTTTGGGTCCTTCCTCCACAAAATTTGCCCATTGACTCTTCTTTCACTTAGCTGCCACTTCCAAGTAGGTTCGCATCACTTCGGCTTTCGATTGGCATTTCGTTGGGAAATGAAGCGGACAATCTACTCTCAGTAGCACTGATCACCGTTGGTGGGGATTAGACAACTATTGTCTTCCATTATCTTCGAAGGGTCTTTGAACCTGTGCAGAGCTCCTCTGCTGGATAGATAA